TAGTTTGTTTTTGATGCCACTCACATTGGGTCATCTCTGTGTGAGTGAGTGAGCAGCACAGTATAACTACAAAGAGGTAAAAAGGGAAGTCTAAGTCACCCCTGTTGCCATTTTGAGTATTGTAAGTAGTAAAGCTGGCAATACAGGAGGACAACGGTCTCCCTAACAACTGTCTTTGTCTTGCACGGATAGGAAGAAATCACAGTGATGGATAATGACTTGACTGAGAATGCCTATTGGACCAAATAAAGGCCTGGGGCCAAAAAGAAAGTGGAACAGAGAGGTAAAGTGTTGCAGCTGTGAAAGGAAAATGGATCAGTGGAGTGGAGTGTTTGATACAGTGAAGAAGAGCCATGTTGGAGACAATGTGAGGCTGGGGTGTTCCAACACTAGACTTCTCATTCTGGGCCAGGTGATGGTATACTTGAAAGCGAGGATAAAATTGAAAAGTCATTGATGAAAGACATTTTTTAAAGCAAATTTACAAGTCCCATTGGTTTCTCGCTGTCACTGCAGTGATATTACTCTCTGACACACTGGCTGTGAAGAGGGGGAGGAGTGGCCCGTGTTACCACCCCACACAGAATATGCTTGGAATGACAGCCCATGAAATGTGTGACACCTACACTCTTTATTTCTTTTCTTCATTTCTTGAACTCTGACATGACAGTACACATCCAGCCTTATTTGAACTGGAGCTGGAAGAAGATTGAAATGACGTATCAAAAAGCAAAAGCTTGCGTCATAAATATTTCATTGGCTGGATGAATAGCTGAAGGTGACAAGTCTAAAGTCCTCCCCTGAATACAAATTGATGTACAGTAAAGCTGGAAGAAAAACCTGAGTGGAGAGTTCTGTATTTTCATGCATGAAGGCTCGCTGCAGACAAATGCAAGCGATACGGTAATCTCTCTTGGATTGCGTGCCGCTGTACTGCAAGCAGAGCTGTGACATGTCACGTAGCTTGTTTTAAATTTTTGGGACAAGTGAGAAACTGAAGGCCTGTGACCTTGGTATTCATCTCTCTCCAGTGTGGAAAGAAAAAGTGAATGTTTGGGTAAAAATAGCCTCTTAAGTGAGTTACAAACCCCCATGCGTCTTCATCAGATATTGCAGAGTGCAGCAATAACCTTGCGTTTAAGCATCCAGTAATTTTTTTGGAGGCATTTATCACCTTATTTTTTTCCTCCTGAACCCAGTCTGTGTTTAGTACAGATAAATTTCAAGTTGTGTCAAAATAGGATAATTTTTTCATTATGCTCCCCTTTACACTTTGTTCTCCTTGAGCTACAATGATGCAGTGAAATATTAATGACAGGACACACATTCATAGTAGTGGTATCTCCAACTCTGTTTTTCTGCTGCCTTTTTCTGCTGCTTATGTTTCTTTCCTGTTGTTTCATAATCAGATCAGCGTTCATATCGCACCCAAAGCTGCCAAGTGGAAAAAGGAGCAAGCTCAGTCAATGAGATTATGAATGTATGACTGCCTCTCTAGTGTGTTGAGAAACGTTGCCTCCTTCACTGGAATATTGTCTAGAAGTACATGATAAACATCCCAAAATGTGTTACAACAACCACTTCTCTGGCAGGCTTTTTACTAAAGCTTTCTAACTCACCTACAGCTGTATTATGTCCTAATTCTAACATAATGCTAAAGCATGTTCCTTATTCCCCAGCGGTGTTTTCCCGTGGGAGTCGCCTGCCTCGGCCCTGAGTCTCTGACTGTTAGCTGATCAGGATGCTGATGTGGAACCTGTAATGGAGACCAGGGCTTGATATCTGGTGAGTCTGCCATGTTTTCCAAGTCACTGCATATTGACTCTAAGCAGCTCCCTGCTTAGTAGGAGCAGCTTTAACTATGCTGAAAATGGTGTTAGCAGTGATACATCAGCAGATTTAAAGGGAGTGCTATGTCAGAAAATTCAGTGGAACTACAGGGCCAGAGGATAACTGAGTAAAATATTAATATTTATTCTCCTCTTGTCTCCTACTGTTTGGCAGCATTTGATTTACACAGTTAGGCAACAACCATGTGCATGGAGTCTGTTGACTCTGAATCTTCTTTTTTGGCTTTATCTTATTTGTCTATTTCCAGTGTACTTGGGCAACGACACAAAATTGTCTTCTCCCAGAAAATGGGCAGACTGGTCATTTTTGAAATAACATGACTCCGGTTAATGTAGACGACACTAACAAACGGCCGGCACAGTCGGTTCGCTGGAGGACTTGAGAATGACGATAAAAAGGTGATGATGATAAAGAAATAGATATACGTAGGTTTTGCACTTTACACAACAAGTGCAATGTCTACAGGGTTGCCATCAGTGCAGAAATGTGTGAGAGAAAGTAAAAAGATTGCTGGATAAATATTGCTTAGTCAAGAAGCTCTTATCCAGCATATTCAACATGCATATAAATATAGCAGCTATAATAATAAATAATAATAATAGAAAAATATTTGTTCTCAGAGAGAGCTTTATTATTTATGTAATGTTATCTAAAAATGTCTGGCATTATTTTTGTAAAGTTAACAATATTTTGTGTATTTGTAATCGGAATGTATGCTTTTCTTTAATACGACTTACAGTTTTTATCTTAACTACAAGCCACATTATTATCTGAAAGCCTATTTACCAGACTTTGATTGTAGTCTCAGCTCTTAATGTATTTTTCTAATGAAGCCAATTGGAGTCATTTTGACCCCAATACAAAATATCGAAATAAATACAAAGAACGCCAGGCAGCCCTGGGATGTAATCCCTCCAGTGTGTCCTGGGTCTGCTCAGGGACCTCTCTTACAAGCCCAAAACACCTCACCCAGGAGGCATCCTGGTCACATGGCCGTAACACCTCAGCTGTCTCCTATTGAAGAAGAACAATAGTGGCTCTAATCTGAGCTCCTCCTGAATAACTGAGCTCCACACCCTATCTCTAAGGCCGAGCCAAGACACGCGTTGGATTAAACTCATTTCCGCTGCTGGTATCCACGATCTTTTGGCCACTGCCCACAGCTCAGCTCGTGACCAAAAACGAGGACTGAAGCACTGATCGACTTGTAAATCGACAGCTTCGCTTTCATGCCCAGCTCTCTGTTCACCAAATCAGACCAGAACAGCTTCTAAATCACTACAGATGAGGCACCAATCTGTCTGTCATTCTCCCACTCTACTCTACTCTACTTTCCTTACACGTAAACAAGATCCCGAGACACTTAAAGTCCTCCGCTTGGGGAAGCAACTCATCTCCGACCCAGATTCTGACCAGACTCATCCCAGATGCTTCACACTCAGTGCAAGCTGGAGATCACCACCTGATGAAGCTAAGAAAACCTCATCATCTGATGCAATGATGCCAGGTCTCTCTTGGAAATGAGATTTGAATCGCAATTAGATTTATACCTGGATAAATGAAGAGTTAATAATAAAATCCACAGAAATCAGGGACCACCTTACCAGATCCTCTCCACCCATTTGCTGTAGCTAGAAAATTTGTCCATAAATGTTCTGAAAAGTATCAGTGACTAAGGGCAGCCCTGGCGAAGATTATTATTGGGAGTGCAAACCAAGCTCTCAATGTGGTTGTATAGGGACAGGAAACAACTAAAACCAATTAAAGCTAAACACACACTAAAGGCGGTTCTAGCACACAATTTCCCTCATGCTATTCTCAGGGCATGCTGGCTTATGACAGGAGCAACAAACAGTTGTGCCCTTCCTGTCTGTGGTTCATGAGCAAAGGTAACACCATTTTCAAGCATTAAACAGTTGCATCAACGGGTGGAGCTCCCCTCACTCCCAGGAGGGTCATTTCTGCTTCGATTAAGGGGTTCACAATCTGGCACAGGGGTCGGCAACCTGCGGCTCCGTGTGGTTTGGGAAAATAAATTAGAAGTATTTAGCTGAAGTGTATTTTATTTATGTTAGTTCTTTTTTAACTTGTAGTTCTAAATTGGAAGATTATTGTGATATTGAAATATAAAAATACAATTATATTCTATTATTTTTTTCATCGCTCAAAATAAGCGTCACACTCGCGGAAGCTGGTATACCCGCTGAAACGTTGTGCATTTATCGAGACTTTCAACCCCAGGTAGGTCAATTATGGATCTTCGGATCCACATT